AATAACACGTGTACCATATTTTTTTTTTTTTTTCTATAATAATCAATGATTCGCGTTTTCTCTCTTTATAAATATATTTTTTCTGATTATTATAAATTATATTATTCTATTTCAGAATCGTTACATAAATTCGATATCAAAGCTCGCTTTAGAATCGCGAGCGACGATATCGAAGATAAATGGTAAGATCTGTTAAGCGTTAGTTACGGACAACAAGAGAAGCAATTAGAACGAGAAGCCGTACAATCGCAGCCCCAACAACCGCGGAGGCGGAACAAACCGGCGACGATAGTTAGAAAGTCGATTAAAAGAAGAAAATACACGTACACCCGACGACGACATAATCCACGCTCACTCTTAATCGAACAGACATTATGATGGAATTGACAAGTCTTAAAAGAAAGATCGATAATCGTCGTAAGAATGAAAATTGGAAAAAGAGAAAAGAGAAAGATAGAAAACGAAATGTAATTCAATTTCGCAAAATTTTAACAAAAGATAAACGCGAGAATCGACGGGAAAATTTATTCGCACTGTTATGGCATCGATTCAATGTATAAATTTCTTTCTGATATTTTTAGATTTATAATATCAAACGGATTATTCTTTAGCATTTGATAGATCTTATTGCTTATTTTCTGTATTTCATATTAGAAATTACAAAAAAAAAAAAAAAATACTGCGAAATAGAAATAGAAGGCAAAAATCTTTTTCTTTCTTCTTTAAGATAAATGAAAAAAAGAGAAATTTTAATTTTTAAATCATCCTAACGATTATTTTATTCAATGAATAAATAGTATTTACCATATAAGATATAAGAAGTCTTGAAAAGTTAATTTGTGCTATCTCGATCTCGCGAGAAGACAGAAAATATGTTTAATCTTGAAATTTCGGCTTGTAAAGGACAGGATTGGATTTTATAGGGCGAGAAAGGATGAGCCGTTTATCTCCGGCGTCGTTTTTCAGTTTTTCAGTCTCCTGCTCTTATACGTCGACCGTTTTCCAACCCTCTTCTCTAGTTACTTTATCCCTTCCTTTAGGGGCGTTACCGGCGTCGGTATCTTCTTTGCGAAATAATAAGCTCTCTCTTATAAATTCATCGTAAATGCGGTCTCATGCATTTCACAATCGACTTTTTTTTTTTTTGATATTGATCAATATCGCTTACAAACGAATTTTGTATATCGCAAAAAAAATTTGATCCATATTACTTCCTAAAAAATCATCCTAAAAAATTAAATTAATACAAGATGCAAGATTTTTCTTTTATATCGGTACTTCGGATTCGATTCTTGAATTCTTTTATTACACGCATATGAAACCGTTTATATATTTTTTTTTCTCCTTTTTATTTTTTAATTCCAAATATTCATATCCTTTTTCTGATTAAAAATACTCTCAACTTTATTGTTGAATAAGTTTACGAAAACCGTTTACGAAAAATAATATATTAATATATATATATAATATGCACTTGATAAATTTTATACTTTTCAATATATTATTTAAAAAAAAGAAAAAAAATTTACATGAAAAATATTTTTAAAAAAATTAAATAGTAAAAGGTAAAAAGTAAATTATCATTTTTTCATATTTTTATAATATATGTTAATATTTTTTGTATTACATGCTTTTTATTATACAATTCAGTTTAGTTATACTTATAGAAAATATGCATTTTTAATATTTAATTAACTGATTCAAAATATTGTTTACTATCCTTTGGATTTGGTTTAATGGTTTTAGAATCTGGTTGCCAATTAGCAGGACAAACTTCTCCATGTTTTTCAACAAATTGGAATGCTTTGATAAGTCTCAATGTTTCATCTACGCTTCTACCTACTGGTAAATCATTTATGCTTAGCTGTCTTAATATTCCTTCTTTGTCTATAATGAAGAGACCTCGTAAAGCAATTCCAGATTCTTGGAGAAGTACATTGTATTTGATTGATATTTCCTTATTAAAATCACTAAGAAGAGGATAACCTAAATTACCACCTAATCCACCCTGTTTTCTCGGTGTATTAGTCCATGCTAAATGACTAAAATGGGAATCTGTAGAAACTCCAATTACTTGCGTATTCAAAGCTTTAAATTCTGAAATTTTTTCACTAAATGCTATCAACTCAGTAGGGCAGACAAATGTGCTAAAAATAAAATTATATATATTTTCAAATAAAATATTTGATTTTTCTTGAATATATAATTCTTAATAACTTACAAGTCTAATGGATAAAAGAAGAGTACAACATATTTTCCTTTGTAATCACTTAATTTGATTTCTTTGAAATCGCCATCCACTACGGCAGTTCCGGAAAATTCAGGTGCAGGTTTTTGAATTTGAAGTTGGCAAGAAAAAAGTTTTGAACTCACACAAAAATTTCGAGCATGTTCTACTAACGTCGGTTGTTTAGTTTTCATCAAATTTGATGTTGCTACATATACCTGTAAATGTACTATTCATATATTACAAATATGATATTGAATAATAAAATTAATTAAAATATTATTATTAAATTAAAATAATTTTCAAACGATATAAATAAATTAAATAATTAATATTTCTATTAGATCAAATAACTTACCGCTTTGCAAGTTTGAAAATGTAAAGATGCTAAGAATCGAAGCATTATTAATATATAAATTATTCTCAATGCAAGAACAATAAGCAACGATAACAAATCTTATAATCAGAGAAATACAAAATTACTTCATGAAATAATATAAAATAAATATTAAATTTAAAACTTATTTTCGAAAGTTTATCTTGAACTTTTCAAAGAGGTTATATAATTCACTTTTCTTATGAATGACACATTTTAATAAAAAATAATAGAAAATATTTCAGAACTTATTAGATATATATTAATTTTAACTAATTTTGTTCAAATATTAATTACTATCGAGAAAATAATTCTTTAGATTCTTATAAAATATTCTTTCGAAAAATCGAAATAACCTTCTAGTAAAATGTTAGAGGGCGACAATTGTCGAAGTAAAATTGATCTTTGGAATTGCAATACATCAATATCTTAACATTTCAATATTTCAAATCATTCTCGAGTATATATTGCATTAATTGCATTATAATAATAAATATAATTTTTTAATTAAATCAAATTTAATCAATATAACCATATTTTATTCAAATAACAATATTATAAGTTTTATATTTGTTTCTATTGAATGAAGAAACATATTTTTATATATATATTTATATATAAATTCAAATTACGAACTATCGCATTTAAATTAATAACATCCGGTTTCCCCTACAATGAAAAATATCATACTATTAATAAATAGCATTTAATTTTTTAATTAACCAATGATTCTTATTCATTGTCAATGAAACCAGATGCGCGCATAGAAATAGAAATTTTCATTTCTGATATTTGAAATCTGTTGAAAATAACATCTTATTTTCAATTAAAAAATGTGTCTGTTTAATCATTCTTCCATTTTTAAAAAAAAATGGAAACAAAAATATCTTCATTATTACATTGTATTTTTTCGAATAACACAACTTTTTTGATGTAACATGTACATCATACATTAAAGTTTTACTACTAAAACATGATACACAAGTCTGCTTACACCATATAGAACACAGAAGTCATGTTTTGCCTTCTGCATTCAAATTCTTTTGCTATCTATAGAACAGAGTTTTTCAAAACACCGTCATCCAAAAAATGACAGAATTATTGACCTATATAATTGCAACTCGATAAAAATTTCTTTTATTTTTTTTCAATTGGAAGCTGTTGCCGTCACACTGGGAGTAGGAGTCGTAGTGGACGTTGATTCTTCTGTAATAATTCGTCGATTTTTCTTTATCCTCTTCCATTCGCCATTTGTATAATTCATTTGGAAATGTGTCTCAACCAACATGGGAACTGTTGTACCATCCGGTTGAGTCACTTCTTCTATATTTTCCGAAAGCATTACTGTCACTATATTACCCAACTTTGGACAAGGATTATCTAAATATATGAATATATAAATAAATAAATGTA